TAGATAGATAGATAGATAGATAGATAGATAGATAGATAGATAGATATAGATAGAGATATATAAAATGAATTTCAAGAAACTAAAGTCCAATAATATTCCGACCCAGTAAGCATTCCCGCTGTTTACAAAAGGAAGGCTCACGGGATCTGATATACAAGGACTTGAGGTGAAATGTGCAGTGGGACCCAGATAAATTCAAAATTCAGTAAATAACTATAAACCTTGAACTTTTTCTTATTTACCTTATATATTAACTGAGATGAAAAAAGGAGTTCGGCCATGATTCATTTCACTCATTTGTTTCTTTAACGGCATATCTACTTCTTTATGAGTCATCTACTGCCATAATTTAATTTTCTCGTGAAAATTGTGAAATTCAATTTTCTTGTTTGGTTTGTTTTGTTTTACAGCATATCTACCTCAATGGATTATTTAATGCCGACAGTTCCGCCATGATATTTATACGAGACGCATATTTAAAGTCAGACCCCCTTTATACATAATTATCGTCCTGCGATTTATATTACATTACATTGTCTCGTAAAATCGCTACACCCTCTAGTAATCCTGTTGACTGTGTATATATATATATATATATATATATATATATATATATATATATATATATATATATATATATATAAGCGTTTCATCACAAGCAAGGTGGGAAGCTACTAGCCTGCAAGGGGTTACAGAGAGTTGGAGCTAGAACAAATAGGAGTGATAGAGGAAAGGATGAAGAGAAGGATAGGGGATAGATCCGGGCATCTAGAGACGTACATTTGAATAGTTGGAGATTATAGCTATCAGGGAAACAGGAAGAGGGGAGGGAGTTGCACAGGCGAGAGGTGCAAGATATGAAGCTATTGGAGTAGAAGAGATGGCTACATTTAACAGTTTCGACAGTAAAAGGGTGTGAGCGAGATGCCAGCCTAGTAGAACGCTTAAATTTATGAAGTTTGGGAACCTGCGAAAGCAGCTCCTCGGAGCAGTTACCATAAATTTATTTGTAAAAAAAAACAGAGGGAGGCGACGGCACGTCTGTGAGAGAACGACTGCAGACAAGACGTGCCATATATATATATATATATATATATATATATATATATATATATATATATATGCGTGCGTAGCTGGGTGATTAGAACGTTCTTTTTTCGACCATAAGTCTCGAATCTCATGTCTGTCGATTTGTCAGAAAGATGATTTCATAATGTTATCGGGCCTAGGGGAGGCAATCGCAGTTCGGGACACCTTTGGAAAGTGCCTGAGAACCAAATCATGGGTTGATCCAAACTTTGTAATTGAAACTAAGCAGATGGAACTGTTCGAAACCGGTAGATGATTGGCCAAGTACGAAGTCACAAGCTATCATGACCGACGTTTTCATTGTACGCGCCAAGTTCAAACTACTGATTACACCCGAATATCCGTTCTTTCCCAGAAATTGAAACTAACGTTCAGCATATTTGCAGTATAAACCACAGGTGGGCTTCTTTGGTGTTGAATGAACCACAGATGTAACTGAGCAGGTGTCTGCAACGGAAAACGAGAGTAGCCGGCCATTTAGACATCTTTGACAGAGGTACTGTTAAACTGACTTTAAAAACGCGTGACGAGGCTACGTTATCAGGCGCATTTGATTGAAGTATTTTAAGAGGGTTGTTGGTCGTAACAACACTAGATTTTCTAGGTAAGCATAGCAGTTATTTTACAGAAGGACGCCGAAGATACCATGGATCGAATATGTGAGCAACGATGAAGTTTAGTAAAAAATGGACTTGAAAATAGAATTGAAGCAACAAATATATGGTTCTACTGATAGATGCTGAGGATACTATCGATTACATATGTGAGCAACGATGAGATTTTGGAGAAAATGGAAACAAAATGGAAACTTATACTTAACAACAGGAAGAAGCAGTTGAATTTTTTGGCGCACGTAATGAGGAAAGAGGGCTTAGAAAATCTGATACTCACAGGACAGATTGAGGGACGGAGGAAAGCAGCGCGTAACATACTTGATGGGCTTGAGTAAATGGATGGCAGAAAAATGTTTTGAAGGAATATCAAAAAGACAAAACTTATTAAGAGCTACAAGGGGAGGAAGACGTGGAGGGCCATGGTCGCCTACGCCCCGAAGGGACTCTGCACATAAGAAAAATCCCAATCTCAAATAATGCGGGTTAACCATAGCGACATGCAGACACATTCGTAGGTGAGTGTGAGTGCAAGTAAATGAGTGTGAGTGCGAGTGAGTGTGAGTGGGTGTAAGGGAGTGTGAGTTCGAGTACATGAACGTGAGTGTGGTAGGTGAGTGTAAATGCGAGTGAGTGAGTGAGTGCGAGAAGGTGAGTGTGAATAGGTGAGTGTGAGCGTGTGTAGGTGAGTACGAGTGCGTGTCCTTGAGTGTAGTGTGAGTGTGAGTGTGAGTAGGTGATTTTGAGTAGGTGAGTGTGAGCGTGAGTAGGTGTGTGTGAGTGTGAGTAGGTGAATGCAT